TGTGTACGGTGTAGAATGTTTTGTGCATGTTGGAGAAGCGTCAGAATACATAGTCGTAAGTGTAAGATTCATGGTTCATGGTTGTGTGCGTTGCGGGTTATTGTACTGCTCGGTCGCCCGGTCCAGAGTAGGCCTTGTTCGAGGATGCACTCTATCCTTTGCGCAACCAAGCGCGGACTGCAAGCCAGCAGTGATGTTCCAGATGAGCCGGTGGCCAGTCGTCGGTTCATTCGCATCTTCTGGAAAACCTTGTCAAGCAATGGATCCCGACAAGGGGCATGACCACATTTAGTGGCGGGCCACACTCACCACGTCACAGCGCTGTCCGCGGATGTATGTGGCGTTTTCAGCGGAGAACCCTTGCCAGGAGTAAACCCACCACATCCTCGAGCGCTGCCGCTGCTCGTCCGCGACCGCTTATTTGGTAGGCCGAAGCCCACCTTATTCACGGTTAGCCGCGAGATGGCGGCCGTTCCCCTATCCGCGACCTGGGGACGCGCTCGGTAGCATACAGCTCTGCTCTTCTGAGAACAAAAGACCAACTGACTGAAGTTTTCGCAACGTGAGAGAGTACCCCCGCGTGCGGTCCTCTGTCCTTAAAAGGGAGTACTGTTGCAACTCCGGACAAATATCACCTTTCAGGATCTTCCTCAGACAGATGAGATCTCCCCTGAGGCGCCGATACGTAACTGGGAATAGACCAGCAGCCTGTAGACGACCTCCATAGCTAGTTCCGCGTAGTCCAACAAAGAGTCTAATGGCAACATGTTGTACAAGCTCCAACTTAGCCAGTTCACCGGCCGTGCAGGGGTATGTCGTCACACCACCCTACTCAAGTCTTGGTCTGACATGGGAAGCGTAAGGTAGCCTGAAAGCGTCCATCTTGAGCCGGTTGAAAGACCGTCGATTAGGCCCCAGAATGCTCCATGCGCTAGCACACACCCGATAAGTGTTTTTTCNACGTCACCATAACACCCGGGTCTCTTTGGCACGATGTTCTGCGCAATGTGGTTCCCTGGAAGTTGTAGACTACCTCTGAGTCAGCACGCCCCAAATGCAGGTGAGCACATTTTGCTGTGTTGACTGGAAGAGCCAAGGTGTCCGCCCACTGAACCAGGTTGTTCAACTCCGCTTGAAGAGAACTTCGATTATTCGGATCCTTGATTGTACGCCAGATTTTGATTTCATCTGCATACATGAGAGATGGGCTGCACAGCTGACCAGGCAGGCCGTTCACATAAACCACAAAGGGCAACGGACCAAGAACCGAGCCTTGGGAGACCTCACTGGGAGCGGAATACCACGCAGAGAACGATTTGCCAACACGGACGAAGAATTTCCGATCGATGAGGAAGTCTCGCAGCCAATTCCGCATGACCACACCCACACCTAGGTTTACAGCTTTCTTAGAAGGAGGTCGTGCGGCACCTTGTCGAAGGCCTTGCTGAAGTCCACGAAGATTATGTCCGTTTTGTGTCCTTTGGTCTTGTCCTCGGTACAGAATTCGCGGGCAAGTAACAGGTTTGAGAGGTATGAGCGGACCGGCTGGAAACCCCACTGTCGGTGGCCCAGGTGACCATGGCACACCAAATACTGTAGAAGCCGTGCAGCCACTAGTCGCTTCATTACTTAACCCACAATAATAGTAAAGCTGGCTGGTCGATAGTTCCCAGGGTCACTCATTTTCCCATCTTTAGGCAGTGGAACAATGACAGTATCCTTCCACTGCCGCGGTATACGCCCTTAAGTGAATGACAAATTGAATAGGTGGCACAGTGGCACTGCAAGTTCATCTGCTAGCTCCTTCAGCATCAGCGGATGCACACCATCAGGTCCAGATGACTGGTGAGCCTTTAGTCGACGCAGCTCCGAGGCCACCTCTCTGATGTTAAATAGAGTCCAGTTCAGAGCAGTGTCAGTGTTCAGTAGATGTGCCAATGTGCTGGAGTCTGGGTTGTACACTGAGACATAAAGTGATGCCAACATCTCCGCTTTGTCCTCATCCTTTTTGGCTGGTGCCCCATCTTTGGCGATAGTCGGGATAACAGGACTTGCTGTGATTCTTCGCCTGAGCTAGGCATACACTCGCTTTAGTGCCTGCACCGAATCCGCTGTGAGTCCCTCCTCGAATCTCGTTCGTTTTTCTCAGCGCAGTACAATGATTCCGAATACCACGATATTCCTCATATCCTGCACCGGTTGCACGGTACACGAACCAGGCTTTATTCCGCTGCCAGAGGCATGCCCGCAGTTCTCGATCAAACCAAGGCGGGCCCATAGCGTGTGTTCAGTGTCGGTGGGGGAGGGGAGATAGTTTCAGTACGAGCTGATGGATTCTATGACGAACCAACTTCCAGGGTCCATTCACATCCTCACAGCTTTGGGAATCCCAATTTATGAGTGATGCAGNATGCAGCCTGACGGATTTACGGAAAGGATAAGCGCCAGACATTCCATCCATCCTGTGGTCTGTCCATTTGGGGTACGCTACGCCTACAGTGTATATACGCAGAACGGAGTGATCACTAAATGGTATTGCTGGAAGGAGGTCAACCCTGGTCGTATCTGATTGCCTCGGCGAAAACACTAAGTCAAGGATGGATTTTTTATCCCCAAATATCAGCGTGGGCACGTGATAATACTAAAGAAGCGAGAGAGCCCGGACAGCGAAGAGAAGTTCTCCAGAGAACAAATCTGCGTGCTGAGAGCAGATGTCAGTTTCGCAATCAATATGTGGCGCATTAAAATCACCCAAGATAAGACACTGTTCATCTCAGGCGTACCTTCGTAGGCTGGCTAATAGCTCCGGGTGTGCGGTAGATCACTCCTACTGCGGTATACCCTCCGGCACAAAGCTTGATTCTGCACCACAAGGCTTCTCCAAATCCATCTCGATGGGCGGAGCTCTCCAGTACTCAAAGAAGAATACCCGAGCGGACTAAAAGAACAACTCCACCACCGCGACGTGTCGATGATCAATCCGTTCAAAACACTGTGTAACCGTGGAGTAATATTTTGGAGTCCCGGATATCCGGTGTCAGCCAGGTCTCAAAGATTGCAAAACAGTCGGGATTGTGGGATACAAACCAGTCCTCTAACTCATCCCTTTTTCCTAGCATCCCCCGGATATTGGTTTAGGTTAGCACAGAGTGATTACCTCACCACTTGCACTTCAACCTAATCTCCCCGTCTTCGTTAGAAAGTCTCCTGGCTCATCCCCCGACCAAGGGTAGCCATTGCAGCGGAGGGTGCCTCCGATGCACACAAAAATCCTGTCTACACAGAACAGTTTCCCCTTTAGCACGGCGTTCCCTGG